CCCCCCCGCCACCCCCCCCTCTCTTTTATGTGGGGCATGGCTGACTGGTTTCTGGGCTACCACTCTGTTGGCATACTTTAATTTTGCCTCGTCTCACTTCTTTTTTCACCTTGCTCTTTCATTGCTGCTTTTCTCCCATTCTCACCTACATGGAACATGAACCTTGTAGACTCCTTGAATGGGATTTCCAGTCTAGGATGCCCCAGCAGGCTGGAGACAGGGAAAAATGTCATCAGTTTGGGTCAGCTTTCTCCCATGATAAGGGACACTGCCTCTTGCTCATAGCCTGCTCTGTGTTCAAGCAAGCACATTTGATTAAAAAGAATCCAGGACACATCCTGTGCTGGCATAAACCATCATCTTTCTCTGGAAATCTGTGGAGTACGGAGCGTACAGACAAGTAAAGAAACCCCATCCCGCTGACAGGACAAGGTTTGTAGGAAGAGGCAATATCTTTCATTAGCTCAACTGGTACAGTTGGACAAAGTAGCAACCTTTAGGCAAGAGCCCCTCTTCGAGCCCACAACAGAAGCAGCATCTTTCAAAGCTGAATGCCAGTTGAGAGTACTTATTCAGAGTTTAGTCCTTCTGACAAGCTGCATTATTTATGATGTCAGTGAGTTAAGAAAAGCTTCTTATGGTCAAATGTTGCTGATGCAGTCTCATGAATTTGCTGTCCTGAGAAAGTTCACCTGTAAGTCAGTGAATTGATCAGCAAATAAACATACATTTTATTCTATGGGATGGAGATTCAGCTGGGTAAAAATGGTTTTACCAATTAGGAATATAGCATTGTCTCTGATCTCCTTTGCTATCAGTATCCGGCAGCCTGCAGCTACCTAGGGCTAGGATATATAATAACAACACAAACCTAAATGATACTCCAAAATTAGTACCTCCTTTCATTTAGGATTTGCTGCCTCTGCTGCAAGTGTAAAGTTAAACGGCATTTGTGGGCAGAAAGTAACACGTTGGCTCTATGTAGAGCCCAATGAGCCTCCTGTGGCAGGCACAGCACCATCACCTTTTCTGGTGTACAGAGCCGTGTGGGCTTCGCTTTGAGATCTTCTAAGAAATTATTGATTATTTCTAGCCGTGTTCTGTTCAAAATTAAGGTCTTTTTTTATCAAGGCTTCCTGGAGAGGCGGTCAATGCCCCAAGCCTGTCAGTGTTTAAGAGGCATTTGGACAATGCCCTTAATATCATGCTTTAACTTTTGGTCAGCCCTGAAGCGGTCAGGCAATTGGACTAGATGGTTATTGTGGGTCCCTTCCAACTGAACTGAACTATTCTGTTCTATTCTATAGAATTGTGAGTTTGATGGTACTAATGAAATTAATGGCAATTAGTACTATTTCTGTTTGGGGGAAGAGAGGACAGAATAAATGGCAGTTCTTCAGAACTTCTACTTACTTTTCAAAATGTTCTTCTTTTCCTCAAAGAAGCAACATGAATCCTTGGGTATGGACTAGTCTTTACCAGAGGATGTTATGAAATAACCATGTTTCTGCTAAACTTTACTGTCTACTGTACTGAAATATGTCTTTGCATAGTGAATAGTTAAATGACATGCTTTGTTTTGAGTAGACAGGCATTTTAGATAATGTGGATATTATCAAACTAACAGATAAATGTGATTTGTAGAATAAGGTTTAGTGGCTGGTATTTGGAACAGGTATAGAAGTAATTGCAAAACAGTTTCTGACTGAAAATGTATATCAACATGGGATAGTCGGAGAGAAGCAGGTTCACTGGAATTCTTAATGTGGAGTAAGTCTGCATTCGTGTTCCTGCTGTAAAACTTCCTAGTCCTTTCAGTACTGTAACTTTATAAGTGTGGAAACCTGATGCAAGTTCTGTTTAACTTCAAAGTTTGTCCACTTGCCTAACGGTGTTTATAAATTCTAATTTGTGCATGACTCAGAGGAAGGGAGGGAGCATGTGTTACAGAGTTGAGACTGGTACTTACTGGGAAAAGTCATTGCACAAATCCTGACACCTCTCAGTCAAAGTTGGGTAAACAAGAGGGTGAGAATGAGAAGTAATGAAGATGCTCAGTTGTAAATCTGCTTGAAAAGATCTTGAAACAGGAGTGAGTGCAATACAACAATTTCTGTCTATTTTTATATGCGTTAATGATGACACTGATTATCTCAATCTCCTATTCCCACTTCTTAATTTCTCTGGTCGTGTGTGCTCTGCTAACATATCTTTAAAGGAGATTAGGCCCAGCAAAAGGCCTGTCAGCTTTCCTGGTCCCATGGCTTACAACTGAGAACCAGAAGACATATACCTTGGGTTGGCTTTGGAAAGCCATGGGCAGGAGCGTCCTGGGGTTGCTTGCCAAGCAGGAGCAGGATGGCAGTAGCCTGCCTGTGCTTGTGCTTGGCCTTGTGCTTGGTTTGGCCCGCAGCCAGATCCCAGAATGAGATGGTGATTGATACCGGCTTGGTTTGCCTCTGATCGCTTGCTCCCTTCAGCAGAGGCTCAGCTGGCAAGGTAGTTTCTGTCTTGGTGCAGGTCTGTTACCGTTCTCATGACGTTGCCCAAGAAAAGCGGACTTTGAACTACCTGAAGGCTGTTATGTTGACCTAGACATTGGCCATCCCTGGCTAGTCTGCCTCTTCCTTGGCTGTGATGTGTGTGTTGGCAACTCCCTTCCCCACCTTTCCTTGTCCCCTGTGTCCTTGTGTCCTCGTTTTTGCCTAGCGGTGTGTTACAGAACCCGTCTGCTTTTCCTGTTGTGCTTTGATTGGCTGTGTTCTCGCAGACTTGGGAGTTGGAATAGAAGAGTGGGAAGGGTTTCTCTTTCTGTTTTGTGGTTTACTGAAAGACAGCCCATGCAGGAAGAGACAAAGTTTTGTTCTTGAATTTCAAAAAGTTATTCCCCCAGCATTACAGAAGTTTGGCTGATGTGATTTGTATCACAGGATGTATAGCTTAATCTTCTGAGTATTTTGCATAAACTTAAATTTTCTGTGTGTTTCCTTGAAACTTTTGCGACCTTCTTAGTCAACTCTTTCTAGAAGCTTTAATTGGAAAAAGATTCTCATGGAGTAATGTAGTGACTTGTACATCAAACTGCTCCAGTTTTATAAGAAATTTAACCTGAATTTTTTTTTTTTAAAGCCTTATAGTCAGAAGAGACTTAGGGTAATTGCATTACTTTTAACCACTGGGTTGCATACAGTTTTTTTCAGAGAGACCCTGTCTGGCAATGTAAGTTGTTGTAGCAAATGAATTTATCTATAGAGCAAATAGCAGAGTATTTGCTTTATAGAATGATTACTGCAGTATTCAGGGTTTTTAATGGACTTCTAATCTTTTGGTTGTGTCAGCTCTGGATGTGCTGGTAGCTAACACGGCTATTTTTCAGGAATTGTATGCGGAACTTCCTTTAAGTTGGCTTCCTGTTAATAGCATTTAAATGAGAATCGGAAACCTTAAAGATGCACAGCGTCATGCTCTTTATTCATTCCCATTTAATGATCTCACTCTAACAACGTGGAGAATGGAGCTTTCTAAATCTAGACAGTGTTCCTTATTCCCACCGGTCTAATTGAACATTAATTCACTTGTTTCACAAATCTGTGAGATGAAGAGAGCCTAGATACATCATATCTTAGAAACAATTTTTAGAGCCTACTTGCCAAATTCTCTTAGTTGTCAGTTTAGCAAAAAGAGAACTGACATAGTAAGATGAAATTACCTACTGGAATTCTGGGGGTTTGGTAACTAATGTGTTTTGGTTTTGTTTGTTTGTTTAGAAATTCTTCCTATATGGATCAGCCTGTTAGTGATGGTGAAACTGGAAGACGACCACTCTAAGCAAACCCAGGATGAATCGGGTGCCAGGTGATGCAGAAAATGCTCACAGTAGCAGTGTGGAATCCTGTCCTTCCTTGCGGGATGTCCACTCCATCAACCCAGTGCAACTGACGGCAAGGATTGAGTCGTATGAAGGCAGAGAGAAGAAAGGCATATCAGATGTCAGAAGGACTTTCTGTTTGTTTGTTACATTTGATCTCTTATTCATAACCTTGCTGTGGATAATAGAATTAAATGTGAGTTGTCTTTTCAGTACCCTTAGAGTTTATTAATTTATTAATTCACTTCAGGAGTGGTTAATAAGTTGCTCTTTTCTATCCCAAATTATATGCTATTTGTATTTATTTAAATTAAACCTTCTTTCTTTTAAGCTTTCATGAACATAGTGTCTACTCAACTGCATCTACTCTTAGTCATTAGGATACATGGTTTATTATCTTCTTATCATTAAACCTTTTGATGTTCCTGTAGTCTATGAACCATGCTGAAGAAACCATTGGAAATCCAGTGATCTTTTCAGAGAGCAAGTAAACAAAAATGTTACTGTACGTCTTTGAATTTGGCGAGAAGTGTGAATTTTAACAGGATTCGAGAGTTTGCCTTCTGAGTAACTCAGTCAGTGATATTTCACTGAGGTGTTAGTCCCTGGAAAGACTTCCAGTGGCCAAAACCTTTATTTTGCTGTGATGTATTTTCTTTGAGACAAACTTAGTATGCTATACATTGTGTACAGCAGGGTGCATTTAAACAACATAATCCCCAGAAAGCAATAGGGTAGCTGATTTGTTATTATTTCATAAGTAGCATCCTAGTTCTTGAGCTGGGTTTTAAGCTATAATCTAAAGTATGCATTTAAGACAGGAAAAATGGGAGGAATCCCTTTTCTGGACAAGAAAGATCTTGAGTAAACATTTTTTGTCAGCATTCCTTTACAAGATAAATAACCTTGGTTATTGATCTGCTATTATGAAGTTTCAGGAGCTGACTGTTCAAGTAGTTCATTCATATAGTGAAAAATACATTTCCAATTTAATCTGAGAAAGCAGACTTTGCTTGCCTGAATGCTGTAATTTTGGGTGTAGACTTCTGTTGTCTCTCTAGGTGGAAAGACTGTTGTATCCGGTGCGTAAAGTTAGCTTCGAAAAGCAGCACAATGTTCTCATGCATTTCTTTTTTTTAGGCCAGTTTCTCAACAGCTTGTTCGATTAAGAGGAGCAGTCTGGGTTTGTGTCTCTTGTTGAGGATTCAGAGTATAGATTTTCATATTAGCACTCTCAGAATATTTGACTCTGTATAGAAAATGCTGCCAACTCATGGTGTTATATTTTGAATGCTTCAGCATTAAGGGACCTCAAGATCCTAGCAGTTTTCTTTGTGAAAAGCTTTGTTTTAAGGAGAACATATTATGAACCAGAGTCCTGTACTGCCAAATGTCAGCAAGAATGAAAAACAGGGTTTTTTTGTCTTCGGAAGTCATAATATTAGAAGCTATCATTTGGTATCTGGGATCTGATGCATGATTAGGTTTTTTTGTTCTGTTTTTTAAATTAAGTTTTGTTCATTAGGAAGTTAAATAGCACTGTATTAGGACTGTCCGTCACTGATACATAAGTAACGGGACTTCAGAATTGCTGCCAGAGTTCCTGTAAGTATTGTTTTCCCTTTGTCACCGTTATCCAGTGTGCTTAGGTGTAATTTATTTTTAAACACTTCAGGGAGTAGCTCCATGGCTGTTGAGCAAACCCTAAATCAAGCCTGTCATGGTTCTCTGTTTATCCTTATGTTAACATGGTGCTCATGCAGCCACACAGTGAACAGCTTGGAGGGGGGGAAGTTGATCTTCCTTATTTATGCTGGAAACAGATGATCACACCTGATGCAGTAGAGCAACCAAAGGGAAGCTATATTTAGAAAATTGTCAGGTAGCCATAGAGGGGAGGAGAAGAAATAGAAGCAATTTCCAGTTGGAGTGAATAGTCTCAGGAAAACACTGTGCAGCAGTGTAGTTGGGAAAAGTGTGGAAGTGTCTAGATTGCATTGCTTTGAGATGGTGAGCATATGTTGTGGGCGTGCTTTGGTACCGCCTTTCTTTAAAAGGATAGCAGTAGTCAAACTCAATATTAAAGCCTTCTGTCGGTGTTGTTTTCCAGTGCTTTACATAACTGTTTCATGGAGAGCTTAATTATTGAATTTAATATTAAAAACAATAGGATATGGACAGGATAAGGTTTTTAGCTCCCAACTAAGTTATATACTCCTCTCACTCTCTGACCCAATACATCCCAAATAATTTTCTTACTAACCCAGTTTGAACAGGAAAGTGATGAATCCTTCCACTGGAAAGAAACACAGTGGCTAAGGAAGATGTCATTTTGAATCCCCTCAAGCAAACGAAAGAACTAAACTTGGGCACTAGTTGTTTGTGGGAGAATGGTCTAATAGTTGCAGCTTCTGTGGTTTTTACAGTGGGTTTTTTTGTTCAGCTCTCTTAAAACAGATAGTATGTATGCTGATAAGGAAAAGATCTGGAGTATGAATTCAGTTACTGTTTTGTTTCCTGTTTGTTAACATGTGACTGACTAGAGCTAGTTTCTGGGTGGCTTTTTGATCAGCTGTTTTGATCCTCCTTGAGACATAAAATGCTCTGTGAATTTGTGTAACAGACCTTACATTTAATCATTTCTTCATCTCTCAACAACTTGTTTTCTTTTATTTTGGGACAGTCTGAAGTGTAGCTTGCATAGGCCAGGTGATAATCCTAAATGTTTTCACTTTGAAAATCGTATATAATCATGAAAAACAAATAAGGACATTAATCTTGAAATTGACATTCTTAGCATATATGTCCTCTGTACTTAGTTTAATGACCTTTTTGTACATCAGTGGGGAACTATTAATTTCACCCTGCAGATTTGTGTGTATTTTGGCTTCAGTAACTTCTGTTCTAAAGCTGTGTGTGGTGTTGTTTCTTTGTAGGTAAAAGGAGGCATTGAGACTACCCTAGAGAAAGAAGTCCTACAATATGACTACTCTTCTTCATATTTTGATATATTTGTAAGTGTTCTTTAAAAAAAAGGAAAGAAAAAAAAAAGCAGCAAAAGTATAGTTTTCCCACGTTCCTCCTTCCACAGATGTTTCTTAGTTTGAGTCCTGTGAAAGCGTTGATCCTTTCTTGATAATTTAAACTGGAAGGACTTGTACCAAATTTCACCCATCTAGGGGTTGCCCGGTCCTGCTTTGGCAGCAGGCTCATGGAGCCTGTGAATAGATGCTTAGGCAGACTTAAATTGCATCTTCTGCTTTGGGGGGGTGCGGAAAAGCAGGTTAAAAACTCAGTCAAGAATGTGAGACTGATGTAACATAAAGAGAATTCATTAAGAGGACAAGACCAATAGTCCTCCAGCTGTAAAATCATTTTGTTTAAACCGACGTTTTTGTCCCTCCACAGAAATAAGTCAGTTGCAGTGAGGAGAAACTTGTTCCCAGGTTGGCCTGTATAGGTCAGGATTTTTTCAGATTTCTGTGTTTTAACTCAAACAGGTGGTTTTAACATGGTACTAAAAACAGATGACGTGAAGTATAATTCTTCTTTACTATGTATAATCACCTTAGGCACATGGGAGGAACTCTACTGCATTAGGAAATTTCTCTGTCTTTCAGCAACACTGTAGCTCTGTAGTTGCAATGCATTTTGCACTGCATGGACCAGGTTACTGATCTCAAAGGAAAAGCTGTTTCTTTATGGTTCTTCTCAAGGGCCCCATGTTTTTGCAAGATCATTAATTCTACCAGATCTTGTTTGCCTGGCAGACATGAGGTAGTTTGGTATCAGTCATTTTATGTTGATGACTATACAGAATCATAGAATAGGTTGGGTTGGAAATATCCAGAATCTCTCTTTGAAACTGGTGTAAAAACCCATCCTTGCTTCTGCATTGGACCATTTGCTGTGTCAAATGGAATGAGGTACCGGATACAAAAATTCCAGAAGCTAGAAAACTATGCTACTTCTCCCTTTCTCTTTATTTTGCTGGCAGGTTCTCCATGATATACACTACTGCAGAAAGCAAAAAATGTTATCTGTAAATGTTGATGCTCTGGCAATTATTTTGCCCTGTAGTTGAACCAAGGGTTAAAAACATGTAATGCAAAATAATAGACTTTTATTCCCTGGGAAGGGAATAAAATTGGTCATTGAATTCTGCAAAATGATTTCTGGGCTTATACAGGATTTCTTCTGTTTCTACTAGACGTCACTGAAACATGTATTTGCATAAGATTAAATGGGTTCATTATACCTCTGGCCATGTCTGTCCTTGATTTCTCTGCATTTTTAAGTGTTTGTTTCACATTTTTTAGATTCTGAACACATCTTTTAAAACAAGTTGGAGGCAATCTAATATCAAGGAATGAACAGGGCAATCGAGGGTTAGAGTCCCTGATTCAGAAATATCGTCTGTCTGCTATTGATTTCATTTTCTGGCCTAGAAATACCATAACTTACCTTTCTTTACTGCAAAATATTTCAAACGGCTTGCTATTGCAGGCATCTCCATAAAGAATAATTGATTGTTGCAATGTTAATATTTCAAGAAATACTAAAAAAATTAGTAAGTAGAAAATTGTTTTTAAAAATTCTTCCCATTTTTGGATTGCATTTGTGAAGTCTTTACAGTTTTTAATGATATTCTTGCGCAGTAGCACACCACTAAGATCGGTGAGATGCACAGTAATGCTCAAGGTATTTGCTGGATTAACTGCATCTAGATTTAACTGCTTAGATTCCAGTCAGGTAAAATGATCGTGAACATACTTTGTGTAGCTTTCTTATGTTTCTAACTTACTTGCGGAATTGCACATGCTTGCATATTTGAGCCTATGTAGGCATGTGAGTAGTGCCATTTGCTTTACAAATGGGAAATTATGTTCTATGTCTGTTTTATAAGCACATTCAAATTTGTTTCTCAATAACAAAACATAGATTGTCCTGTTTTAAGTTGTTTTGTAAGCAGTTAGTATTTTCAGTGAGCTGAGAATCTTGTGGTTCTTCTGTGTTCTGAATTAACCAACAAATATTTTTTTCCTTTCTCTATAGCTACTGGCAGTCTTTCGATTTAAGGTGTTAATACTTGCATATGCAATGTGCAGACTGCGCCATTGGTGGGCAATAGCTGTGAGTAGTAGCCAAGCATAATGGAGTTTTAATTAGAATGGATCGAACAGACAAAATTTTAGATGCCTCTTAACGCTTGTATGTTAAGAATCATCTTGATGCTATATATAAAAATTCGCTCTACAGTTACAGATTAAAAACTTCTGTTCTGGAAGATTTTCAGCCTAAAGACAAGACTTTAATAGCACAGTGGGTGTGGTCCTTATTAGGTATCATGTTAATACAAATTGAAGACTTACTTTGAATCCAGTATGGATGGCTAGTCGTAACTGCTTGTTACCTCTAACTTGTTAATTAATGTTTGAAATATATTTGCATTTGAAATAGTGAACTGTATTCAAAAAGAAGAATTGGCATTATTGTACCAGAGATCCAGCTGTCCATTAACTCCCACATTCTTAGCTTTTTAGAGTTTTAGGTGCCACCCATTGAGCACTAGCACCTGTATTGCTTCATGCTCCAATACAAAATGTTGAATATGCATCCCTTCTTAGAAAGGAAGTTCTTGAGAACTGTAGGCAATCACAGTAGATTGGAGCAAGTACCTTTAATGCAGCTGTATTGTGTGGATGAGAAAGAATGCGAAACGTGATGACAAATTCATACTTCCAGCAGTCAATACTATAGATTGTAATACAATAGGCATATTGCTGGCTTAGCGCATTGTAGATCTTAGACTGTTTTTCCCCTTACGCTATGGTAGGTGCATGTGTTCATGTATAACTTTCTTCAAGTGAGTAGCATGCAGTTTGTTTACTAGTTTGAGATTACATGCCATGATTTTTTTGAATTTATGTTATTAGCGTGGCACAAACACATACATAATAGTAACTGCCGCTCTGATGGTGTTTATTTTTAAGTGCACACCTCTCAAAATCCCTTACTCTTAGTTGTGTAGCTTTAGAGTATTTCTTCCAATGACATCCTCCAACTTGATGCAGTTGTTTGTGAGGTGGTGAGAGTGAACCCATCATGGTAGTAAGCAATTAGATATATAAAGCTTCACTGAAGGTTTTGCAGAAGCCATTAGTCTTAACATCCTTCCTGTGCTTACCAGAAGCTAGTTAGGTTCTGCTATGATTTAAAGAATTGCTGGACCCAAATGCACTAATAGAGTTAGAAGCCTTGCTTAAGTGAACAGTACTTGTCCACTGCTTTTTTTGGGTTTTTTCCAACGTTTTACGCAGCCTGCCATTTTTTAATTATGTCAGGGAGTATCAAGTCTTCAAAGTGATTCATTTTTCACAATATCAGTACGTGAATTAAAACATTAATTCAAATTTACTCCTGCAAAGATGTTTTGTTATTTGAAATGGATCTTTTGATTTGGATGGTAGTGAAAAGCATTTGGAGCAATTGCTGTTTGCTTTTTCCCAAATACATAGATAGGTGGGATTTTCTTAAGGGACTTGGTGAATAAAATACTGCATCTTCGTTATACAGTAAGATCACAATTTATATAACTCAGCATCTGTGTAGCATCTAAACTGCCTATCTGCTGTGTGGAAATCAACATTTGGAGATTCCGTATTAAAAGTTATCTTTATTAAGGAGATTATTTTAATAACACTTTGAGTTAATTGTATCATACTTGTTAGGTTTTATTAATCTATGATCTTGCTGTTGTTGGTAAATATTTAAAGTTGCAACTGATAGATAATGGCAGAAATGAGAAAGTAAATCCATTTATTAGTCTTAACTGTTCTTACCCTGTCTCTTTCAGTTTACAACAGCAGTGACCAGTGCCTTTTTATTAGCAAAAGTAATTATTTCACAGGTATATATTCTAATCAAATGTTTGTTTTACTTTGTTCTTTTCTTGAAAGCAAGATTCTTCAGGGTGATTTCTGTAATGTTGTGTGGTTTTGTTTCCTTCAAGCTGTTCTCACAGGGTGCTTTTGGCTACGTGCTGCCCATTATATCCTTCATACTTGCCTGGATTGAAACTTGGTTCTTGGACTTTAAAGTGTTACCACAAGAAGCTGAAGAAGAAAACAGTAAGCTTTTGATATTTTCCCTCGATCGCTGCAGTTGGCAACATCCGGTCCCATGTTATCTGGCAGAAGAATGCTTCTTTCAGCTTCTCAAAATTTGAAGAGCTGTGGGAAAAATTAACTCATATGGCATAATATTCCTTTTTCTGGAAAGGAACATATGCCTTCAAAGAAGTGGGTTTGTAATTAATTTAGGGAGGCAAAGTCAAAAGTTACAAGGGACAGATCAGCAATTTGTCAAGCACTGAGAAACGTATATAATTTTGTAAGCTTAAGACATGAAAATTTAACTGACTTGGGCTTGTAAAATTTTATTTTCTGGGTAATGCATAGAATAAGTGTCTGGTTCCTCTTTTAGGAAGAGTAGACACAATAATTAACTCAATGTCACTAACTCTTGAGGTAGAAAAGGGAAAGCAAAGAAGTATTGTGGAGAGTCTGCTTCATGCACAGACAGAATGAGATCAGAACAAGTATGAATTTCAACCTCTTCAAGATGAGGCAGCAGGTCATCTGACGCTCGATGTATTCAACTAAATGGAGGAAACCCATTGGTTTAGTTGAAAGAGAATATTGCTTGAGTGATGAGGAAAAGAAAGCATAGATTTCTGCTACAGACGTTTTGTTAGTTTCAACAGCAGGAGAGTAATTATGCAGCGAACCTGTTATTTGTGCATCGTTACCTGAAATACAGTCTGAAACTCTGTTGGAAGGGCATGTTTGCCTGTTAGATAAAAACAGAAACTTTACATGGGCATGGATGCCTCCATTTTTTTAGTGCTCTGAAATGCAATCTTTCTACTTTGATCCCTTCCCTCTTCTTTTCCACCATTCCAAGAAAGAAGTTGGTTAAATGAGTACACTGGGTTTTGCCTAGAGAAAGGGAAACATAGGCTAACTTTTTTTTTCTCTTTTGAGGGGGTGAGGAAATACAGCTGCATCACACTTTTATCTCAATAGATAAAAAGTCTAACGACTTCAGAGACTTTTGCATTTTTTTAATACTGAATATTCATAGACAAAGAAAGTATTTGATACATACACATGTAAATACTTGATGATCATATTCATAAAATTGAGATATTATTGCTAAATCCCTATGGGATTCAATTACAGTTTCTTTTTGTTCATTCCTACTGAGCTTGAAATAGATGGTATTTATTTAGAAATATGTGCTTTTTAGTTGAGCTCTGCATATTTCCAAAAAAGATGGGGTTTCACTGGAAAATGCTGATTTTAAGTAATTAAGTCAGACAAATGATAGGCACGTTTGGATTGTGTTTATTTAGTGCCTTATTTGCTTTTAAATCTGAGGCAGATAATGAAAACGGATTTTAATAGTTTTTGCTTTTTGACCAGGTATTTTTCTCTCCTATCTCTAGTGGGAGTGGAAGCTGACTTTGTTCCATCTTACTGTTTTGTTTTAAAAAAAACAACCAAACAAAAAAAACGCCACCACGGCAATTTTCTGTCTAATGCAACAGTGCTCAGAATTTGGAGATGTTTTGTCTGTAACTTAAAAAAAAAAAAAAAAAAGAAGAAAAAAGGGCAAAACTGTCTTTCCACTGAAGATTTCCAGCTCTAAAAGTTTCCTTCTGTGAGCAGGATTTAAAGCTAAAATCCAACCAGTATGTGTCTTCTAGTATCTTGTGACTCATTGTTAAGTATGGAGACTGACCTTCCTCTCTTGGACAGAGTGGAAATATAAGTAAAATAGATGTCTCCTTCAGAGACTTCGAACTGGTTAATAAGATAAATTGGTATGTAGAAATAGTAGTTTGAGTTGGAAAGAAGTTTTTTTTAATAACTGCTGGCTGCCTCAGATAGCTCTCCTGATTCAGTAAAACATCAAGGTTTTCTTTTTTTTTTTCTCATCAGTCTTCATGTGGCAGAGGATCAAGGATGGAAGTTGAACAACAGCCTTATGTTGACCTAAAATGCCATCTTTGCCCTGTTATTATCAGAAGACCTGTTGATGGCAGTAAGGATGAGATGAATTAGCTTCTCTTCCAACTCCTTTTGTTTTTTGTCCTGTATTAAACACACCAGAATAGCCCCATGTCGTTTCCAAATTATTTTCCTGATTTTAGATGAAATTGAGCCCAAAGGAGTTGAAGGTTGGAGTAACTAGGTATGTTGAGACAGATAGGTGAAAGCAAGCCATTAATGAGGAGTCTTATAGTGGCAAAGTGAGAAAATAATTTATTTGGTTATGCGTGGCAGCTCACTGACGATTAAAAATATATTTCAGAGTTTTAGTTAGCCATTGAATATTGATGAATTTACATATGACATCCTAATCATGCAGTTGCACATAGTAGAAGGAAGGACTCCTGAATTCATGTGTACAGTACACCTGTTTTGCTGGAGTGTGTCTCCTTAGCTGCCTGAAGTTATATAGAAGACATAAATGTTAAATTAACAGCTTGCTTTTTTTCCTGAGATATTTATTTATAGAAGTAACTTGTTAGGAATGCTAACATCATACATCAATCTTTAAGATTCTTCATCAATACTTTATCTTTAAGATGCTATGCGATAGCACTGAGGGTTTGTTTTTTTTGTTTTTTTCCTTTTAGGATTTTTGATAGCACAGGATGCTTCTGAACGAGCAGCTCTTCTTCACCCAGGAGTCCTCTCTGATGGGCAGTTCTATTCTCCTCCTGAATCTGTAGCAGGTAGTTATGTTCGCATAGTGAATGATTTTTCGTATTGACATTAAACTCCTGCATATTTCACCCCCTTCAGAGGGTAAGGCAGGGGAAGGGTGAAGGGAAAAAATATATTTTCCTTTTTAAATGAAAAGTGCAATTTATAATCCTGAAATGAAAGATTCTTTTTTTTATTCAGTAATTCAGTTTAGTTACTACCTGTCAGATGAATTACAATACATGTAAGTAGTGGGGCTTCTGACATGCCCCAAAGGTGTTAAAAACAAGGTAAGTCTGAAAGAAAACGGTACCGCAACTGAAAGGAGGCGGTTGTTGTTCATTTCGGCCATCGATGATCGTTACGGGTCCCTTCCAACTTGAGATATTCTATGATTCTGTGATCCCTTATCTGCTAGCAGTAGTGTTTATGCAGCAATGCACTATTTGATCCAGCCTAAACTTGGAGCTTTACAGTATCTTAGGATAGACCGTGAACCTGAAACTGCTCTAAAACAAACTGAAATTTCAATCACAGGCTCTTTTCCTTTCTCATAACAAAAAGAAAAAGCCCTCTCTGCATAAAAAGGCTAGCTGTGTGGGTATATTAAACTGAGGGCAAATGTTAATTACATCTTAACTCTGCATATCATGTGCTTTGTTCTAGTTGAGGTACGAGCCGAGTAAGCCAAAAAATAAATGGCAATACTGCAGGAGTTAAGAATGTGTTTGCAGGCATTTCAAGGAAATAAGTAATTTCTGTATGGGTTGAGTGGATTTGAGTTATTTGAGGACGCAGTGTGAACCCCTATGTCAGTCTTTTTACCCTAAAATGTAAATCTCTTCTGTAAAGCTCTGCTGTATTATGCAATATATTTAAAATATTAATATCTGGTAATTGCTACAGATTCTTTGCCTGTCTTGTGTTATAGAGTTATACATGGTGATATTTTTCAGTTTAATGGCTGTCTCTGGTTGCTGAGCATCTGGGCATAATGAATGACTTAGAGCTCCATCTAGGGGTGAGAAAGCATTAAGACAATGTCGAGCGTAACTAATGATTCAAGGTGAAAATGTGTTTTAGTTAAAGCTGTGAGTCTATCTTGAGGAATAATGGTTGGAAGTGTTATACTGGATTCAGCTTGGGATTTTTTTGGCAGTAGAATATACAGTGCGAGAGGAAGTGTAAGTGGAGGTAACATGTTTTCCTTGGCAGTTTGGCTGGGTCGATGTTGCATGTGCAATGAGCTATCGTGCCTCAGCATGCATATGGTGACTACACGTATATGACTGTGCCATTGCTTTCAGCTTATCGAATGGCTGCTTGTCACCTGGGTTTCAGTAACTGCTCACGTGCCTTCTAGTCTGCCCTAACTGCCAAGTAAATTTGTCTGAGCACCCTTTACAGGTATGAGAAGCAAAAGAAACAGTCAAATGTATTTGAACTAAAACACACACACTGGTAGTCACAAAGCATTCTGAAACTGTTAGATTATGTACAGTAAAAATAGCTCACAATTAAAAATATTTTCTTCAAAATTCTGCGTTTCTTTCAGGTAAGACAAACTATGGATTGTTCTAAGTGAGCAGGTTTTGGTCAATTTGCCTTACATATTGATTGGAAAAAAATTTAGAGATAAACTACTCCCCCTGATCATGCAGATGGGAATAAACTCCTCTGCTGACATGGCAACATGTCTAAAAACAAATCTTTGCTGTCAGGAGGTGACATTTAAAACAGGCTCTGTTGGAATTTTCAGCATATTTATTTTTTATGTCTTCCTTGAAGATGCCCACATCCAGGGCCATACCCTTTTCCATCCACTTCTTTATATGGGTTGACCCTTCATCTTCAACATTAGACTTTGTTGCCAAGTAGTCGTTCTGGAGGTAGCAAGTGAAAAATCAGTGTGGAAAGAGTAAATTTCTACAGTTTCTGTACAATTTGAGCTTCAAAATGAAAGGCAGGTATGCTATTCCAAGAAAGGAAAGGACTTCAGAGTAGTTTGGCCAAAAAACCTGCTTAACACCTTTGTCTTTCTTTTTTTTTTACTTCTTTGTGAGAGGGAATGTGGGTCCATAGTTCAGCTTTAAATTGATGGCAAAAGCCCAAGTAAGTCTCCCAGGCATTTTATCAAAGACAGTTCTTTACTCACCTGTTTTTTTGTTTTGTTTTGTTTTTTTTCCCTGTGGGAGTTTCATTTAAACTGCCCGAGACATGTATGGTGAAATGCATGGGCTGATAATTTCCTCAGTCGTCCCTGAGAAGGGCTGACTGCCGCAAGGACTGACTGCCACCTCAGATGTGGGCAGAGACATCTGCAGCTTGGATTGGATCTCCAGAACTGCGGGTCAGCACTGCTCACCCTGCTTGCTTGGTATCTTCTCGCTCTCCCTGAAATGACTGATCCATCAAGCCACCTTCCTGCAAAGCAGTGCCTCCACCAGGAGCTGCCTCTGGGCACATAGCCCTGTGACTAGCTAAGGCCTCTCTAAGGCCAGGGCTTTGTCAGAGCAGAGAGCTGAGAGCAGGCAGGGGATGAGGAGAAGAGAACTGGGCAGGGAGAGGCAGAGGGTTTGGTTCCAGGCTTAAAGTGAGACAATCTCTTGCCAGAACACTAGATAAAGAAATTAATTAATTTGTAAAGCAGTATTTCTGGCTGCTTTGAAAGTGTCTTCTGAAGTTGTCTTCCGAAGGGCAGGATGTAGCAAGTGGGAAAATCTGGTTATCAGTGAGCAAATGTGGAGTTGGTTGTCCTGAGTGTGTTGTAGTGAAAACTTGAAGCACTTGCTAACTGAATCCGTTGACAGGATAGGTATTTCAAGAATGATCCCAGTGCTGGGTTTTGGGTTTGATAACTGTTAAAAAAACCCTTCAATGTCAAACATCTGAAAAGATAAGAAATCTAAAATAAAAAGTAAATATTTTTATGGGAAATAGTTGCTTTGAATTGCCTTTTGATAAGCCATTAACCAGTGGTGGTCTGCTTCTTTCTTTTCCTTTTTTTCTTCTTCTCTCAACTGATCTAATAGCATTCTTGTCTTCCTTTTCAGGATCCGATGAAGACTCTGAAGAAAAGCAAGACAGTGAAAAACCAGTTGTATAGCAAATATGAAAAAGCAGGTAAGTTCCTTTGCGTAGAACCTGAATATTCCTAAAAATATTTTTTTCTTCTTAGTTCCTTCCCAAATGATTTGAACAGTGGGCTAACTCTTAGGAGTTCATCATCTTTGAGCCCAGTCTGTCTGTCTTAGCAACCTTCAAGCAGGAAATCCTGCCAGGCTCTTGAGACCCTGTAGTTGGGGTCCTCTGCTGCTGAGTTCTGGTTAACCCAGGCCCAGGGGTCTGAGAGCGCTGTTCTGGAGTATGGTGTAAAAGGCTGCAGGCTCGGGATGGAACACCTGCAGCATGTTGGCTGTCCTGGAAAGGACCATGGTGGACCAGATGTGTAAAAGCTCCTTTTTTTGGAAGTGGGGAGAGATATTTCTTTGGAGATGGCAATGCAAGAGTGCTAGGAAGAGATTTTCTTTTAGTTTAGGTCTAGGACAAATAACTCATCTTGAAGATTGCACGGGCAGAACTACTTCGATATTTCCCCTCCTCAGTCTGTTTAATAGCTGCCCCTCAGAGCAGCTGTGTCTTAAGATTTTTGTAGTGTACTTCGGTTAAATATGAGAGATGATTTCCTTATTTTGGAAATTACTTCATTTACTTTTGGAATTCTCTCACCCCATGCTTTCACTTCACCGCACATGGCAAAGGTCAAGCTAGGGGAGGTACTAAATGTTCTTGAGAAGCTGAAGCTTCTGATTTGAAATCTTCTAGTGCTCGTCTGGAAGAGTGGATGACCTTTTCAGCCTCCCCATTTCCAATATCTGTTTTCTTGACTTGCATCTTCATTCATCCCCATTTGTGTAATCTGTTACAGAAAGAAAATCTCTGAGGGAAGTTGTTGGGGTTTGGAGACTGGCAACAGAGTCTGTGGCTGACTTGCTTGGTGGAGCTGCTGACAGGAGAATTTATTCATTAGAAAGCAAAGGGAATGGTTCCTATGTACTGTAATACCTCACAAAGATGTACCTTGTTGACATATGTATATTAGGTTGCCTCCCAGGTGGTATGAAAATATTTGTCCATGATGTATTTTGTTATTCAGTGATTCCTGAAGTTGATCTTCTAATGACTAGGTAATTACTGGAAAGTGGTGTCTTGTGTACCTAATCAAGAGACTGGTAATATAATGAAGTAAAACTTCTCTATGGTGGAAGTATATTTAATGATTGTTGGGACTCACCAGGTAAAATTATTTTATGTTACTGCAAATTTGTCATTAGTTTTATGTTTACTTTTTTTAACTTCATGCATTTTCTTTTTTAATGGATATGTTCACTTTCTAAAATAAAAATGTTAAAACATGGGTAATGCATTATGATACTTTGTTGCTTTATCAACCGAAAATCCGCATGTATCACTCCTTTATTTCTTGTGGGGTAATGAGGATGCCAGTTTGCATAGATTTTGTGCAAAATGTGTTATAGTACTGTTTGGCTGCCTGCAGGGATGTAGTGTAACTGGTAGTGGAACGTCATTTCTTTGTTGCATATGTGATATCAAAAGGATGCAAGGAGCTTTTTGAAATAACTTAGTTCCCACTCCTGTAGTGGTGGTGGATGTTCTTCAGGTTCAAGGAGAAAACTGGAGTAAGTGAGCTTTTGCAAACACTAATATTACCCCAGTAGTGAAAGGAAGGTAGTCAATCGTTTGATTTATGTGTCTAAGTATAAGATGTGTATTTTCAGATACGGTGTTAACCGATGCTTGATCAAAAAAGTTTTAGGTAACACCTAATTCCTACCTAAAGAGGAATGTAAGTGTTGTCGCTTTCCTTATATAGCCATTAGGTTTTATTAGCAACCTGCACAGCAAATATTAAGTACCAACGTCTTCTTCACATGTTAACTCATGCATATGGACTATATTGCTTTGTAATATTTCCACTGCTGTGGAACAGAAGCATGGTGGGTAGAAGACAGGATGGGCTGTGGTCTGTCTCTTCCAATCACAGGTATTCCTTGAAGCAGTAGCGACTGTTTCAGTTTACAGGATTCTTCCACTAAAAGCACAAACCGAAAGCCGATCCTCAAAGCATTAAAACATACATTGGCTTCCCTTTATTCAGTCTCAACAAATCAATAAACTAGCAGCAGGGGCATGTAAGCCACTGCAGCTGTCAAACTCACAGCCATGAACTTGATGGGCCCCGGAAATTGCAGATGGATACCTATGCTCAACACTGTGTAGGGCTGTGTGGATGCAGGATTTCTTTCCTCTTTTCAGCTTTGGGTATGAGACATCGCAAGTGGGCTGGGAGATCATTTATTAAAAGTGGGCTTGAATCATGATCACTTGCTTAGTTGTCCTGTTGGAGCTGACGCTACAGCACAGAATAAAGACCATTCTGGGGGCAGTACAAGGGGAAAGGAGAGGAAGAGATGGAGATGAAAGTGGTGCTATTGAAGTCTGCAAGAGCTACATGTAAGCAGATGTTTTGAGAATACCTTCACAGCAACTTTATTTCACTTTAGTTGCTATCAAGCTTTAACAGTAAAATCATCACCTGCCTTTTTGCTCCAAATAACAGTTCTGTAAATAAGTGTATGACTAAAAGATAAGGCAGGCTGTCTTCCTTCACACTGAGGATCAATATACGTCGAGGGCAGTAAGTGGTTACATTGGCTTCAGTATGCCATCTCTAAAATTCTCTTCTGTGACTGCTGGATGAAAAAAATAAGCCAGGATCCAGTCTATCACTTACGTCACTTCAGAATATTCAAGATCTGTTTCAGAGAATGCAGGTAAGAATAAATCATTACAAGAGAAAAATAAGTCAAAACGTGTCATTTAACAGTGCTGGAATGTTCTTAATCAAATATTAAACTCAATGAGAAAAATGCATTTGGGGTAGGAGGTCAAAAGTTCCATTAAACCTATGAACTTCATCTAGGTGCATGACTTTATTTGAACACCTTCCTCAATCTGCAATACGGAGTTCCTCTGGAAATCTAAGAAATGCAACCTATTTCTAAGAAATGCCTACTCTAATCTAAGAAATCTAAAATAACCTAATCTAAGCAATGCCTGCTTCCTCCTGCAGTTCAGTACTCAGAAAAATTAGGAAAGGGGAATTAATACAAAATCATTAACTGTAAAGCAGAACAAGTAATATGCACTAGTGACATATTACTTATTGACTCAGAACAACAACCCTTGGCGGGGGGGAGGAAGGGTGTATTTTGTTACACCAAACATGAATAACTATATGGCAAATGTAAGGTAAAGATTTTGCAAGCCTTTCCTAAACCAGCATGTTTTCTTCCTGTGGTGAATGGTGCGGGTTCTCTGTATATTGACTTCAGTGAGATGCCCCGTTTTCATACATGGGTAGTTTGCCAAGGAAATAACTCCCTTTGGCACATCTACAACCAGTTCTGGCTGCTGCCATGAGAGGTTGCATCTCCTGGAAATCTAAAATTCATCAGTTGTGGTATAGAAAGGAGTTAAAACACTCAATCTGAAATAATTTTGTTCACTCCTCTCAAACCTACCTGTAAAACCTGCGAAGTTGACTCAGAAACTCAGTTGTTCAATCCTGCCCTTCCCAAGGGTGTTTCTCCTCTCCTCGGGCAACCCCAAAGACGTCCCCAGAAGCACTTTCCACTAGCCTTTCCTAGAAAATGCTGCCTGCTTTTGCTTCTAGCACGAATGAGATTGTTCATGTGAAAGCCAGCGGTAACGGACTGATTACTTGGTGTGACAGCCTGCCAGCAAGCTGACTTACCTTGTACTTAGAACAGCTCTGAAGTGGTCAGCGTTATCCATGTACCCCAGACATGGTTTGGCTCCACGATGTCCTTCTGGGACAGTACAGTCCCCAGCTCCTCAGGGACATTTCCTCTGGCAGTAGTGACCTGCGAGCATACCCAGTAGAGAAGATACAGCAACAGGGCTCCTCTTGTTACAATAAAGCCAGATGAAGCAGCCATGTCTCCCAGCTTGGGGAAAGCTTTTGTGTTCTGCTTGAGGAGGAGCACGGACTCTCCTTTCAGGGACTGAGAATTGCATTTGAAGAATGATCACTGCTCATTTTGGTGTCGCCTAGAGAGGTCCCCTGGCAGCAGGTAGATGATTTTTGAAATGAAGTAGCGCAACTGAACCCTGCTGTGTTTTAACAATTGGAAGGGAGGAACTTGAGGTGAATGACCTTGAATCTGGCTTACTGAGACTCGGTGACGGTAAGATACTGCCTGTCATGGTAGATTTCTCAAAGTTAATTTGGTTTTGGTGATGCAAGTTGTGCTCAGAACAACAACAAAATAATAGCAAAATCTGGAGTTGAGCATGTTGAGCATTTAACTCGGCTAAACAAATGTACATCAGGCCTGGAGAACTGTTCCCATACAATTGTTCTGTTTTCCTGCAAGTCATGAGTAACATGATTTGAGCAGTTAAACAGGCAAGAAAGCAGCTCACCCTGAGGTTTCCTAGTTTTGAAAAGCTGAATTTCTGAACTGTTGTAAACACAGCAAATGTGGCTGTGTGCTGTTTGTAATGTGTTGGGTTTTCTTTCTGTTGGGCTTGAAAATGAGATTTGAAATGAGTCTTGTTTCATGAAGCACGTTTGAATGACGACTCAAAAAGGGAAAAACCCCCAACCCCCCAAACCCAGCAAGCTGTTGACCAAACTGGTACCGTTAGCTGGTTGTCCTTTTGTAATCCATGACAGGCTTAGGAGTGTTTTGACTGATGATTTATTGCAATCGTAACTTCAAAATACATTTTGCAAGAAAGGTTTCCTGCCTTTTTTTCCCCTTAGGAAGCTCTGAACTATATAGATTTAAAAAAAAAAAGCTGTTTCAGCCTTATGATTATTTTTCAGTTTGTGCCAGAAACTTGGCACTATGTAATCAGGTTTCCATTAAATACCAAAAAGGGGGAAAAATGAACATAAAATAACTTAAAATATGCTTATGATTTTCTGGGTTGTTAGTTTTGTGTGGGATCAGGAACCTGCAAACGGCATTTTGGCATTTGTTATGTGGCATGAGAGTGCGCACCACCAATCTGCTGCCACACTTAACATGTTTAAGCATGTTTGTGCACATCTATAGGCATTTCTCACATGTACCCATGTCAGCGTCCAGTACTCTCTAAACAGGTTCTTCCGGATGTTTCACAGAGGGAGCTTTTCATGTTTAATATCAAATTTACTTGTTTGATATATTAGGCATTACATGTGATTTGGATTTAGAAGAGTAATACAGCAGTACACTGAAATCACAGACAAGCACACTATATAGCAAGGGCAATATACAGTGGAATCACAATACAAAGGTGATGCTCCAGTAGTTATTCATCTCATTGACAGTGTTGCCATCAAAGGGGCAGCAGTACAAGGAAGAAGGTGCTTTCTGGAACAGCGTGGGTTTTGTCCGTAGCCTACTCTCCACGGACAGTGAATGCTATTAAGAACTTCCACTCTTTTCAAGCTGGCACATTGCAAGTGGGAAATAACAGCACCTGCAGTGGCAATTCTGAAGTATTTGAAATCACGCTGCCCCTGTGTTGGGACTTTTTGCCTAAGGCCAGCAGATGCCCATCTGAGAGGAATCATCCTTTTGGACTCATCGGATGCTTTCCTGTTGCAAACTGTTGCCCTTCCGGAGTATTTCTTAAAGCAAGGCAGGTTTCGGGACCTTTGCAATTCAGAGCATTAGTGCGTCTGCTTGTACCAGAGCTGCTTTCAAATGGAAGAGATATCTTGACAGTGCAAAACTGAAGCTTACTTTCTTTTTTGGTTTGGATGCTAGATGCCTCTTGGACTTAGAAAAATGCTTTCCCTGTTGAGAAACAGCCTTGTATGTAGCAGATCTGCCTAGGCCTACTCGTTAAATTGGAGACAATTGTTCAGTGATCACAGATCACCTCTCTGTGCTGTGCATTCATTTTGTCTATTTGTTCAGAAGAAGCCATCAGGGCCTTGATTAGTCGTTCTTGTGTGTATTCTGAAGATAAAGACCACTTCGGGGGTTTTGGGAGTGTTCACATGTACAAAATATCTGCTCAAAACCTCATTCAGCATATGGTGGAGAGCACAGCTGCTTCTAGTTCATGTCCTCTAAACCATCCTGTTGAAGCTGCAGAGTGGCACCAAGGGCCTCCTTGTGACCATTCAAGTTTGTGATGGTCTCAGGGAAGGTCAGGGGTCAAATTAAAGCTCAAGCATTTTTTTCCTGCCTAAGCAAGACTAACAGCTTCCTCTCATGCTGGAGCCTGTAGTCAGATTGTCAGCTGCAATGCTTCTTTGAAATGAATGTCATATCTGCATGCTCATTTGCTATCTGTCAGAGGATTCCTGTTTCTCTTTTCAGACTCCTTGAATAAAAGGGAAGGGATTTGCCTTATTTCAGCACGGGGTCTGAAATATTACAAGACCAGCTCCTGCAGTAACAGATGATTTTAAGTGCTTCGCATGTGCTTTCACATTGCAGGTACTGTCACACAACAGTCATTCTTAAAACAAAAGGAGGTAGATAACCTATATTGCTTTCAAGAAGCAAGCTACGTTAAAGCACTCACATTTCAATTAAGTTAAGCTCTATCTCCTTTCACAATTACTTAACCCAATTAATTTTCATCAACAGAAGTTGTACTCTATTAGCATATTGCTTAATAGTGAAACTCAAAGCATAAGTGGAGATTTTATTTTAGAAACTTCAGTTGGGTTTAGACATAGCCAAAACAATTCTTTTTATTCTTTGATCAACAGAAGGAAAATAGACCATTTGCTATCATGTTAGTATGATATTAAATCCCCTCCTTTTCTTTCCTCCATCAAGATTCTAGCTTTATCCTCTACTAAGTAAAACAGAATGTAGCGTGAATGTTTTTTAGATAAGCACCAGTCTATAATAACTACTTGCTCAACATCTCTCAAAAACTTTATACAGGTCAGGCAGGTTAGCAAGCTGCAAAATGTTGCCATCTTCTGTGAAGTGTTTAGGAGGTAAAAGATGAGTCCTAAAAGCTTTGTAAAGTACATGTTCCACAGTCCATTTCCATGTTGTTGAACCAGAGTCAGAATCTTCATTCTGAAATACAGGAGAGAAAAAAAAAAAAGGACAAAAAATTAAACTGAAATTCTCTTTTACTAGAGGAGAGCACTCCTTAAGAAATTTTGTTATGTAAGACTACAGTGATTGATTGTAAAATTCTGCTAGTATTAGAGAAGTTGTTCATTCTATACAGTCAAGTTAATTTTAAGCTCTGGAAAGTCACTTGCAGAATGGGCTAACTTAACTGAATAATTAAGCAGATACTTAGACACAAGCAGACCATATTTTTAATTTATATGCATCCTTATTCTTCTATAGAAATTTATCATAGCTCAGCAGGTTAAAAAAAATACACCCCAAACTCAGAGGCCAAGCCAAGGACTGTTGTAATATTAAGTACACTGCAATACCCAAAGTTAAAAGGTTCTCTTAATACATGTAATGCTTCAGAACATTTAAGTCGTTCTTTCAGAATCTTGCCCCGCTGCTACTTGATTCACTTCACTGAAAGTAGAGTTGGGACTAGAAGTCTATAGTTGAAAAAGAAGTTGTTTCCTGTGTGGTGTTGCTTGTTTGTTCATGAGACTAGTTACATATTCTTGTACCTGAGAGTTTGTCAGGTTGGCTTCATCTATTATATATTGCTTTCTAATGGAGTAGAACATAGCTAATTCTCTACTTAGGCTTTCAAAACACTCCTTTTCTTCATCCCAGTTTACCTGTTACAAGAAAAAGAAGTCATTTAATAGAATCTGGGTAGCAGTCAGAGACTTGACAGAGATTCTTAATATGGAAAAGTCATCATAACGTCTTGGCCATTTTTGTGCCGATAAGGTAAAGGTATAGAAGAACAACAACAACAGGCTAGAAATGCAGGCTTTCAAATAAAAATATGTTCTCATTCCATCAGTAGTTATGAATGCAGAGGCAAAGCAGAACTAATCAGTAACCACAGCAAAAGTGGCTGGTGCATGTAACAGTACATTTAACTAACTCCAGCCCTTCCTTTGCAGCTCCTGATGAATTAATTTGATTCACTTCATTCTTTCTTAAGTAGAAAAAGTCATTTGTGAATGAATAAAATCATTAAGCGATTATACCTCTGTGGCCAAACGAAGGATAAACATAGGCAGTCCTTCCAGCGGCGGAACATAGTTGTCTATCAGAAGCGGTAACCCAATAAGGTTTCCTTCCTGCAAGACAACACTGCTGCTTCAGTAAAAAAAAAAGTGTTCTTTCTTGCAGTAAATGTACCAAAACTGTTACATACTGTAAGACTGATTCTTACCAAACTTCGTGAGCCTTAGGGGTATCTGAAGTTACAAGTTTTTAAAGCCTGATGCCAGGCAGACATTGCAGGAAGAGGGTTAGTGGTGGTGGTTAACTTCACAAGGCCTGGATTTAAGCCACCCAGCTCAGGAAGACCTGAATTCAGGTCGTCTTCACTCTAGCCACTGACTACACAGATCCCACTTCCCAGGAGAATATCTGAGTGAAGTGTCTGGGTTAGATGACCCTTGATGAAGCTGTTCAGTTTTGTATAGAGTAAGGGATGCATTAGGTCACACAAAAAAAAGATACATTGAGAGCAGTGGTGATGCTGTAGCCCTGCCTGGCTAGAGAGCTGGTTAAGCTGCACACCTTGTTGGATAAGAGATCTGCGTTCTAGTTATGGAAGCAATGACTAAATTATTTTATTTGGTAACTAATTAAATATAATCTTCTTTGTGTAGCGCCCTTCTAAAAGCAGCGTAAGTCCTGAGCATTTTTAATCAAAGGGGTAAGCCACCTAAATCTTACTGGAGCTAGTTCTTAGCGATAGTAAGTACTGCAAGCAAACTACTGCGGTTATCTGTTACCAAAATGTAGAATCGTAGAATAGTTTTAAGTTGGAAAAGACCTTTAAGATCATCGGGTCCAACCATAAACCTAACACTGCCAAGTCTACCATTCATTTACTGTCAGAAGTAATAGTAGCAGTCACCTCATCAATCTCAAGAGAAAAATAATCTTTCAACATTTCAGTCTTCTTTTTCAGAAACTCCACAATGTACTCGGCCAGCCCTTCTTTTGGGCCATCTTCTTCTGTCCAGCCACTTTCAGGGTCCTCTAAAGCGAGCATTGAAAGCTCATATAAGGGAGCTGGCTCCTAAAAATGGAGAAGGCAAAACTGTTGTTAATGATCAACATGCTCTATTGGAAATCTACAGCTTCTTCCTCCACATACAAACTAGTTGTAATATACCGTTCCTGGCCTGCAGAGCAAACAGTTCTGCTTATCGTAACCAGTCTAAAAAGCATTAATGCTGTGCAGTCCACAATCCTGCAAAGTGCTGTGACATTTACAGGATGAACGCTAGCAATCAACACCGTATTTCTGATAGATTGTGTATTCAAATTAATTATTTGTCCCAATGTAACGAGCAACAGCAAAAACTTGGTGAGTGACGCTAATAACAAGCAGCCAGGATGACAACTTATAGTAGTAGCTACAAAATTACTAACAGAGTTTTCTACATTCTATTCTGACTGTAAAAGAAATGAAACATCGCTCTTGTAGCGGACAAAAACCAACCTGTAAAACTATACATCTGTCTGAAAGAACAAGCTTATCATAAATAAACTTTTAAAAAATCTTTTTATATAGGATATAATGTAAAATTATACTTACAGACAACCTTAAGACTCCAAAGTTTGCAAAGTCATAAATAAGTATCTGGTAGAAGAGTTCTTCGCTAAATTGAAGTACAAAAATTAGTTATATGGACAGGATCACGTATCTCCAAGTTACCATAATTAAGAGGGGTAAGTAAGGGTCGTCTTGGAAACATCAGATGTACCTATCCATTCGTATTAACAAAGATTTTTAACTAAACAGTTTAAGATTCACACACACTATCTAGATGTTACAATTAAATCTGTTTCTTGGTTTCAGCCACATCATCAGCCACATTGGTGCAGAAATGCTACATATTCAAGCACGCAGCCACTAGCAATTTATTCCCAGATACCTTATATTTCAACCTCTCTACTCCTTTGCTGCGCTGCAAGAAATGCACAGGAGCTTAGAAATTGATAGACATGTCTATCTTAAGTATATTCTCTTATTTGTTACGAAATCTATGTAGCCGGCCCTGTAAGGCTGCATATGCAAAACCACAAACTTATGATCATGTCCTGCAGCTTCTCTTAACCCAACCTGATACAACGTTTTGCATGACTTTTCTGAAGCCTCTGCTTGCTCACCTTTATACAGTGTGCTGTAGACGATCATGAAGCAAATAAAATGTCTTTCCCTTCCCCCAGTCTGTGAGCACACAATACAGTAGCTGGCATTTTAATTACACTGATTCCCTGCAACTTTTCCCAAGCATGCCAGACTTGCTTCCACTGTTCTGAACCGATTGCTTAATCTTTAGCCTCATGACTTTTCAGATAGGCAACAAGAAAACGATGTTGTTTTTCCTGTCATTTCCTTCCTTCTTCTAATTAGCTTGGCAATTGGTACTTATTTCAACTGCCAACAAAGTCTAACAGCTTCTTTACCTGAGTTTTGTTGTATTGAGAAGATACAGTTTTGTCTGATACTGGGCCAGAGCCCACTGAGGACTGACACAGCCAACAAATGAGTGGTCACATAGCATCTCCTGAAGATCTGAAACAATTGAGGGGGTGGGGAAGAAACAAAAGGATATAATTTCGTATTTGCAACCCCGCCCTAATTTATTTAGTTGAGTGGTTTGTGTCTTTTTAGTGTTAAAGTCTCGGATTACCGTTCAGTCACTACTACATCCCTGCTTCTTCTTATAGGCCTGTACTACCAGTTATCTGTGTTTTGAAATATTAATCATTTGTGTGCATACACATATACATTAAAACATAAGTGAGAGTAGTTATATAACAGTTAAACTACAAATGCAAATAAAAAAAATAAATCTCTGTGTTTGATTTGAATAGCCTTTCAAAATTTGTTTCCAGCCGCAGGAGATTAGTAAGGGAGCGCAGATGTACTTCAAGGAAAACTGCAGATATAAAACAACTTTGCAACAAAATCTAGTATTGTCAGACTAAATCCTGAAAGTGTGATAGAATAGGTCCATAATTTATTTATTTTTCTCTCCCAAAATAAGTTTCCGGCCTTCTCATGTATCTATATTAAAAAAAAGTATGAGAAGTCAGATTCCATAATGAGAGTTCATTTTAGGCATTCCACAAAAAACATCACTAGTTGCAGTCCTTGGGAGCAGCTTCCTTACAGGAGCTTGGCACTGCAGTCACAGCTTGTACATAGCACTACGCTACCCCAGCTCCACTGTTACCTTTTCCAAAGGAATACAATATGGTGAGAAGAGTATTTCTTTCTTGCAGAGGTCTCCTCTATTGTAGGATTTCTCACGCATGTGAAGACAAGACACAACCTCAAGCAGCTGCACAAGTTCTACCATGTATTTTGAGACCTTTTTGGACATTTTATGGCTCAGGGACAGCTCTTTGATTTCGGTATTTAAACAGTGACAGTTGGATATGGAATTACCGGCTCAGATTTACCAGCCTAATGCAAAACTTTTTCTGGAGCACAAGTAAAGTGTAAGTACATGCTTTCTAAAGATCAAGATTTTTAGTAATTTATAAAAAAAAGTTATTTATTACAGATGTCTGTTAGTCTAGCCATTTTAGCTGTGAAGCGTCCCCAGTTCTTACTACCAGAAAAATCAAAATAAATTCAAGAAAACCCCCAGAACACAAGATTCCCAACATTTAGACTAGCTGAATAACATGGGTTATGCGACTCAGTATGACTCTGAAGGCAACTGACAGAGCTAAAAGGGAAACAACTCTAGGAAGAACTGCAAGCCTTTTACCTTTTTCTGAAACAACTCTTACCAGAAGAGAGAATACTATTTCAAGCAGTCTCATCATTTCATATAAGTGGGACAGATACAAATGAAAATGAAAAGCGAAAGCAGCAAATAAAAATGATGATTATTAAGCTTGTCCCAGTCTGCTTCACAATCAGTGACTAAGCAAAATTTTTTTGTAACCACCATATCGTAGCTGCCATTTTTGTTTGAAAATTACAAAATAACTTAGCTTTTCAAGCTGTGGTTTTAGAGTGTTATTAGTTATGACGCAAGTAAGGTTTGCAAAATATTTAGAATGCATAAAAACGTCTATCAACTAACAAGGTACACAAAAGTTTTTAAAACAGTCCTCCAGTGCGGCTCAGTGTGGCAGCTGCCTGTCCGAAGTTTGGCCCTTGGCGCTTAACAAGCGTTTTTGTTAAAAGCTCGCTTAGCAGCACAGCGAGCTGACTGGGCCAAATATCTTTTTCCTCGGCAGTTCAAACAATCATACTTATTTGGCGGAATAACAATAAACTTGAGAAGCAAAAGGCTTGCTTACTTGCATGTGCCAGGTTACTAATTTCCTCCTGGAGAGTCAATACACTGGTCAAGTTGATAATTCTTCTTCTAGGGGTGCAGGCAGCAGTCATGTCCTTTCTGGTGTCATCTTTCTCCATTTCTATGTCCGTGTCTTCCCGTGGTCGCTTTCTGCGATATCGAAACAAAAGGAATTATGTTCAATTCTCCTATCACTTAGGCAAAACACACCAACAGATGGGATGCTCAATTCACATGCTGTACGTTAACACAGGAAATGCAGAATGTTTCCCAAAGCTTCCCAGAAAGACAGACTGCTTTATTTTACCTCTGAGGCATAATTTGTTAGGAAAAGGTACTTCTTAAGAGAATTTACGACTCTCTAATACCAATCACATCAGATATCTTGTTGTTGTTTAAGCACCAAGAGAATTGGGTTCTAAAGGACATGTCAAAAAATTTTGGTATTTCTAATGATTTTTTTCATGATCATTTTTCGGTAATAATATGGGGGTGGTGGTCTGTGAAACCAGATTCCCTCGGAAGACTTTGGCCTCTCATAAGAGCTCCTGCAGGAGCTATAAAAGATTACAGCACTTTTATCTTTACTAGGGTAATGTCTGCAAAATTCAGCGATGTAGTTTCTATCCCCCCACAAAAGGAGGGCCTCCAAAAGAGAGACAGACCAGTATGATCTCCCTAAACTAAAGTTAATGTCATTATTTATACTGCTTCCTGTCTTTCGGTATGCATGGAAATCCCATGCCGGTTACAAAATTTATCAAAAGTTATGTAATTTACAGTTCACAGATGAAGTTTAACTTCTCAATAAAATGCCATGGGAAGTTAGTCTAGGAAATTTTTTCCTTCTGAAAAAGCAGAAGTCCAAAGAGATCAGAAAAATCTTCAGTTTCAGGGCCATGCCATGAAATAAATAGGTAGCCTTGCATGACCTCAGGAAAGATGAGACTTACCGAGGAGGCACTGTGTCAGAAGACAAGCGTCCACTCTCACTCAGCCCCCCAGGCATCACTGTGTCCTCCTGAGCATCAGCCATTTCAACTAGATCACTGACATCTGCCATTTCAGCATCCTGGGGCCCGACTACACCCTCCGGAGGTCCTGCGTTAACAACCTCTGTCGTCGCTTCAGCGGGGCCTGTACTTAGGGGGTTGTTCACCGGCTGAAGAAAAGCATCCAATTTCTGCTCTCGGGAATCAGTGCGCACCATCTGATGCGCATAAACTTTATCACTGGTTCCTTTGGTAACCGCAGAAGAGTTTGCTGATGCTTTTACAACCTCACTGGAAGAACAGTCGGCCCCTGGAAGCAATGTCTTTGTTCAGATATGGGGAAGTAAAGAGAAGAGATTCAACAAGAAGAAAAAAAACCACAAAGATCAGCCACATTTCTCACAGCATCTTACTGCTCAGAGGCAAGTAGTTTTCAAGCCCCACAAATGCAGTGTCAACTGCTTAAACAGGCTGCCAACTTTGCACTTACTAGACACAGAGCGTAAATGTCATCATCTTGGCAGTTAATGAAATCATTAGTTAGCATTCCCTTATCTCAAAGGGAAAATCTTTAATGTAAATAAACACAAGGAAAATTGTTTTTTAAAAAAAGACTATAGCTGTAGTTTTAGACTATGCTTTATATAAAGAGATACTAGGAAATCATCTTCCTGATTTTTTTTCCGGTTAGGTTAAAACTAAGGTGTTGTCAAATACATAGAACAAACAATTTCCTCAGTCACACGTCTTTCACATAAACCAGGTCAGAATAAAAACAATTTACCACATGTTAAGACTCATATACTAGTAAAATCAGAAAGACTGAACAGATACTTGACAGAAAAGTATTTAAAGTGTTTCCACGCGCCACTTCTCCACCAAGTTCACTGCCACATTGTTAACATTGGCGCATTAAAGCAATTTCATCCCTGCAACACAGAGCAAAGATCTCAAGCTACCAGTATAACATTGCTGACTATCAATCACTGCATAGATTGTTCTATTGAACAGAGTAAATGTATCCACAATAGTTAAAACAGTGCAGAGCTGCGGTCACTTCAAACACATATTCTCACCTGAGTGAAGTACATCCGTGAAGAATTGGAGCCCAATAACTTGCTCTCTACATGTTGTTGCACACGCTCTAGAATACTATCTTCATGAAGGAAATGGACCTCATGTTTTGTAGGGTGCACATTCACATCTACGTTCTGGGGGGTTATTTCCAGGCTGGAAAACATTTTAAAAGAAGTTAACCTAGAATTTCCCATGGATGGCAGAGAGGGCACAAATTGGTTCAGTACAAAATCTGTCAGACTTGGGGCCATTACTCCACGCAGAGAAGCCAAAATAGTCCTGAAACCTGCTAAAGTTATACCGAACAAATCTGACTGCAGTGAATTAAAAAATAATTACTCTGAAGAACTCTATTCCAAACTCAGCAAAATCAGCTTACATAGGTAGGCTTAAACCAATCTCTCCATTGTCCTACTACAAAAGAGTTTTTAGAAATACCTTTTACTTGCAGTATCTCGCGAGTTAATGCTCCTGATGCCCTGTCATTTAGCAATAATCCCAAGCAGGAATTCAATTAAACGCCACAATGCAAGAACTTTATTGTTAGAAAGCACTGGATATCAGTAAGTTTCACTGGTGAATGGCAAGATTCAATTGCTTAGCAATTACAAAGCCAGGCCTTCCATTTTGTGTCATATCTCCAGTTTTTAAAGGACAGTTTCTGTTCAATTGTAGCTATTACTTGACTTTAAAAAAAAAAGTATTCATTTCCTGTAAGCAGTACTCAATTCACTTCTTTTTGTTGCACTAGCATACCGAGAAGAACAGTAACTGTTAAAAATAACGATACAAATATAAATCCCAGCAAGGAAAACCATTAACGAGTTTGGAATAAATTATCTGACTGGTCTTAAATGCTCTGCTGTATTCCTAGTCTAACTCATTTTCCTCAGTGAAGAACATCCATAATGTCAAGGGACTTCAACTGAAATTACAGACACTCACTACTTCTGAAAATAAGGCCCATCTTCTTAAGACTTCTTTAATGTGATTAATTTTTATAACAGTAAAGATGCACAGAGAATTATCTCCTGTCTGGCAACTGAGTACCTCAGTGCAATGCTTAACACTACTACCAGAAACGCAAATGTCCTTCTAAACCTACCTACCCTAGCTATATCCTACAGGACAGTATTAAAAGGCTACTTCTTCCTATTACTTTACCTTAAGTATAGGAACGGATGCGTACTTTTTGGCAAATAAGCAGCATACACAGTTTCTATGGCTTTCCGCAAAGCGGCTGACTCTACCAATCGATCTGAAACACAGAACAAAATGCTATTTTCAGAGAGCCCCACTGAAATACGCTGCACTGTGCCCAGCTACTCCTTCAGACCAACATCTTCACGCTTCCTATCTTCGAAGAGCATCCGTTATACCTGTTTTTCCCCGAGGCCTATTTATTCTTCATATAAAACCAGGAATAGGCAATATCTTCTTAGTATGTTTTATATTTAGAAGTATTTTTTTCCACAAATACTGAAATAACCAGAAGACCTTTTCATTATTTCATACAGTCAAGGTTTGCTGCATCCCACGCCAGTGTTGCTACAGAATGGAGGGACCACTCCATGTAAGTCAGCAGGACGCAATCATAACCTTGATACTCCGCAAGCTTAAGCTTCTTTAGGCCCAGCCTTAGCTGCTTTCCACTATTTAGAGTGCAAAGCATGATGCACATTACAAATGGAAAAACACCTTAAGATCTATAGTTAACTGTAATACTTCTTCTTCAATGTTTTTAAGAATGTTCATGCATTTTTCAGTTCTTCAGAAAGTTTTGTTCTTCTGATTATTATGTAAGCAACGTATGACTGTACAACATGCTGCTTTTTTTAAAAAAAAAAACTTACGGTTTATGAAGAGTAAAAATATACATTTCTTCACAGAGTAGTTTGCATTCGTGATGTAGCCTTTCATTTTAAAGGCCAGATTTGCATCTTCACAACCCACTTCTATCAGTTCCCTATTGACAGTTTGACAGAAACACACACAAAAAATGAATTTTTCTGTTGAGGCAAATTTCAAACAGTACTCACAAGTAGCAATATATTGTTCTATCTTCTATTTATATCACAGTTAATGAAACATTATAATTATTTGAGAGTTCAAACATTCATTGCTGAGTCACAAAAATCATTTAACCTGAACTGCGTTTTTTCTCCTAAGTAAATGTAAAATAGTAATACAGTAGATTGGAGTCTGTAAAACTATCCACAGTATCTTTTTAATACCTTAAGATACGACAGTATCCATAATACTATAACCATCTATTGATACTTCTAATATACATTTCACTGTTTAAGTCATTGACAGAGACAGACAAGGACACTTCAAAATTGTCAGCAGCCAGGGAAGAACATTCTTTTTCTTGAACTACTCTGTCCACTTTTGCCAGTCTAATATTTATTGATGGGCTGCTAAGAAGTCATAAAAATGTAAACATTTTTTTCTTGCTCATGCATACAGATCCTAACGTTAACAATTTTCATAACAGTTTTCATAATTGTCATGATTCATTAGTCAAGGAAATCCACTTTGGTAGTTGGTGAGCACACCTCTCTAGCAAGGCATTATGCCAACTTCTAAAGTTAACATAGAGAAGGCTTATGGGCTACTTGTTTCCAATTCAACCTCAACATATACTGAGTGCCATTTTTATTTGTGTTCATTTTTTAAGTCGAAATAACAAGCTAGACTAAACACCATCTTAAATTGGGTAAAATAAAATTTTCACTTCAAAACATCTGATCAAAACATTTAAGTTGAAATGGACAATTTATTCAGAACTGTACAAAGGAAAAACTGTATCAAATAAGCATTAGTAGCAGACCAAAGAAACGCATAATAAAGAAATACAAACAACACTGCAAACCTTATCACTGAACAGCCTCTCTATTTTGCTGTGTTTCATAAAAGTGTTTATGTCTATTAAAAGTTACATTCCTTACACGTGAAGTGTGAATTTAGTAACTGAATCGAATTGACACCCAAGTATTCACTGGACAAATCCATTCCACAAGTCCATTCAATGAATTCTTCACAGCTGAATGTCTTACAAAGAGAGAATTTTTCCTAAAGTGGCAGATACATTTTCAAAAGATGATTGGTTTTATTTGTTTTCAAACTTTTCTGCCTGGTTTACTCAGCCTCAGCTAATGTAGCTTTTGTCAAAATATTAAACCACAATATTTCAGAAAAACGAATTCAAGGAGACTTCAAAATTTATCAGACAGCAGACTGGGGTAAGAAGTGGTAAGATTTTCATGGCATACGAAGAGGCTGGGAACTTGTAGAGAACACAGGTACACTTTGCTCTTTTTTAAATGAGCACGCAGAAAGTTGCAAGCAGATGGTTCTCTTTTAGTGCGTTAAAGGAATAGCTTTGCAGCTTCCCTCTTTCCTTTGATACACTAAAAAAAGAGTCACACATTCTGCAAGACAAGGGAGAGCTCTATTATGGCAACACTCCCGCTTCTCTGTAATTCACCTTGAAGGAAGCAGGAGAAGTTGGCACAGCCCATGCTCTTTAAAAGAGAAAGGGGAGGGAGATTTACTAGAAAACTTCATGTCAGATGGAAGCTTGACATCAACATACCTGCTAACAGCATTTCCAAAGATGGACCTAATGTTGTCCACTGTTGAGGCGTTTGATAAGGTTCTAACATCTGACACGGTATCACCTTGCTAAAGAGAGCAGAAATGACTATCAATCAATTCACAGTTCTGGCTGAAGTTTTAGAAATACATTAAACTTAACAATAACATTTCTAATGCAAAGGCATGGGACATAACATCATTATAATGTTTTGCATTATTATTTACTTATTTGTGTTCAGAAAAAACAACAGATGGTAAATGGCACAGGATTACACGACTTGCTAGATCACATCGGACCCATTCAGGCCAGTAACTCCATCTTCGAAAGTGAGGAACATAAGCAGTTCAGTAAATAATTACCAAGAATGCCACAGAACGAAGGTACTCTACCCCATCCTCTTTCACACAGTAATTAGTAACCAGAGTCTCAAAAGAAGCTGAAACAGCTCATAAAGCTAAAACAAAATAACACGTTGACCGCACAGAAAACTCCAGACTCCTGACAAATATATTTTTGTCTTGTTTACTTTTATCTAATGTGTTTTCTATCCACACTGCATCAACGTAGACTTCAACATTTCAGTACAAGGGAAGGCTCTATACACTATTCCCATTGCAAAAGATGCAGTGCAAGTTTTCTGGCTTTTTCAGATATACACATTATATATACACACACACATATATATACAGACACACGGTGAAGTTATAAAGACTTTATTTACATACCTTTTTAACCGAAAAGCTGATGCCTGAGTTATGGATGGCATACCTGAAAAACAGGTAAACATAAGACTGCGGTATGTGAAAGAAAAGGTTACTTTCCCAGAATGCTGAAAAGCAGCTAGGAACGGGGACAATTTCATTTCCTGTTACGCAGTAATGTGATTTGGGCCAAATGGAGCTTTTGTAGACTAAACAGCTACAAAAATAAATGTTTTCTATTTCTAACTCACCTGTAACCATATGAAATTCAAGGATCAGCTTAGCTTATTTCTCATAAAAAAATTGATCAACTTCTATAGACCTGGTTAGTTCAGTTTCATTGCACAGGTTTAACTAGAACAACAGCAAAACCTCCTCAGTATAACAGAATCAAGTCTCAGCTACGACGGAGAAGGATCTGAAAAATGGCTGGCTTGCCCTTCTAGCTTCCCCTACCCAGATGGTTCAGCTGTCTGTGACCCCAGGGCCAACTTCTGATACGCTACAGCTGCGGAACCTTGGCTCAAACTTCTAGGGAATTTGCTAAGTTGTGAGAAAGGACACACAGTAGAACCTGGCAAGATGAAAAACGTAAAAACGCAGACAGAGGTTAGACTGTTGTGACTGGGACACTTAGTAACTCAAAAATGCAAGAGGAAGAAAAAAAACAAAATTAAAAGATGCAAAATCCTAATGGAAAAAGACCCCAATGAGTTGGAAGCCTGTAACTCGGCAAGACTTCAGATCAACCTGTTCCATGGAGCAGTGGGACCTGACCCTTCACCTCCTGGCTGAAGTCTGCCTGGCCAGTAAAGACACTTCAGTAGCTCATTTGGGAAGCAGGCTAATGCTTAGCATACAGTCTTGCTACTCTTTGCCAGCTTTTGTGTTTACTGAAAGTGTAAAGCAGTTATTTTGGTTAAATTGTGTAGATCCTACTTGCAAAGCCTCTGCACGTGGCAAAAGTTGCTGTCCTGGTTTCGGCAGGGATAGAGTTAATTTCCTTCCTAGTAGCCGGTACAATGCTGTGTTTTGGATTTAGGATGAGAACAAAGTTGATAACGCACCGATGTTTTAGTTGTTGCCAGCTAATGCTTACACTAGCCAAGGACTTCTTAGTTTTCCATGTTCTACCAACTGAGAAGGCTGGAGGTGCACAAGAAGCTGGGAGGGGGCACAGCCAAACTGGCCAAAGAAACATTCCATACCGTGTGACGTCATGCTCAGTACAGAAACTGGGGAAAGCTGGCCGGGGGGGCCGCTGCTCGGGGACTGGCTGGGCATCGGTCGGCGGGGGGGGGGCAATTGTACTGTGCATCACTTGCTTTGTGTATTATTATTATTATCATATTATTATTATCATTTTATTTCGATTATTAAACTGTTTTTATCTCAACCCACGAGTTTTTCTCACTTGTGCTCTTCCAATTCTCTCTCCCATCCCACCGGGGGTGTGGGGGGAGTGAGCGAGCAGCTGTGTGGTGCTTAGTTGCCGACTGAGGTTAAACCATGACAGTTGCAACAAAGGGACCCAGGAAGGGAACATCTGGTAGCTAAAGTGATTTTTTTTTTTTTTTTGAGGATGTGAAATCACCATTCAGCTTTTTCATATTCAGCCAAATCTCAATGCTCTTGCACAGTTTCTACTCTGATTCTATTCAGCCCAAGTTCATTGAGAGTTCATTCATTCAAGTCTATCACCATTTGTTTGCTGGAATTCTTACTAATAATAGTCATAGACTAAATACACTGTTTCTCCTCTGGATTTTTTGTATCAAACTGGACTGTTATCTGACATGGTATACTAACAAGTAGTCAAAAAACCTCAAAACCAACAACAAAAATGACACCACACACACATATGCCAGTCCCTCTGAAAAACCCCAGTACTCCCAATGGCAGTAGAAAAAATTGGAGCCTCCTATTTCAGTTTACCTGCTAACAACTTCTAGTATTTTTGCATATTCTTCATTTGGATTTTTTAAAGCTTTCCTCCTTGTATTTACATTGTAAAAAAGATCTTCAACCTACAGAGAAAAAGATCACAATTAAAAATAATTTTAAAAATCTTCTCTCGCTGTATAATTAATCTAAATCCATCCTCTTAATAGGTACTACAAATTTTTCTGAAAACATTTTAGTTTGTGAAGGATTTTATTCCTTACCTGCTTAGGTTCACCTAACAAAATGCAACTCTAGAGAAATGCATGTTTTCGAGTATTTTGGTACATCAGTATTGTTACCAATAACAATTCCTCTACAACTCACTTTTCAGTGAAAGTTGTATGCTTTCCACTGCAGGTGACAATGGAGTCCTGATCACACCGTGTTTTAATGAAATGCAAATAGATGTTGAAACAGTCACTGCAATCAAAGCTGTTAATGTCATTAAAACAGCAGCTTAAATTGTTCATTTTCACTATTTATTTAAACAATAGGCAAATTATTTTTCTGCTATAGTGAGAAAGGCAGAAATTTAAAGTTCAGCTTCTTTTTTAAGATACGTTATCCTAAACATTGACACGTGAAGCTTGCTGGGTGTATGTTCCCACTGCAAGACAAACACACCCCTGCAGACCCCCAGGCCAGGCTTCCGCTTTCCACCCTACACTGTGCAACATGCACACCCCTTCCCATTCTGAGCGCCTTATTCTTCACAATCCTAATGCCAATCCTAATCCCAACCCGCATTCAAAGCTTGGTAGATATAAGAAAGATACGACCGAAAGACAAACAGCGGTTCTGCAGTTTCCTGTGCCAGCCCTCATCTTCCCACTCTGGCTCATACAATGCAGACCATTCCTCTGTATTCTGAGCTTCTTGTAGCCCTAACTGTCCATTGAGGCTTTCAGCAGTCCAGAAGGATTATGAAATATTTTTAATAGTGTATGACCATGCTATCCTCAGAAGAAAAAAAGAGGATCTTCTAAAACTCACCTTGCTGTCTTTGGGGAAGATGACAAAACAAAAAACCCAACAAAACCACGCAACAACATCGTTTGGAAAACATTCTACAAGGTGATACTGTCATGAACTTTACAATGTAACACATACCAGTAAGCGGTGCAAGCGTAACGACCAGGGAACAGAAAAGAGACAAGAGAGAAAAGGCACAAAAACCTACCGTGATCTGAGTTCCCTGGTTTCCAGCACAGGGTTTCGGAGGGGCTTTAATTTTTCCATCACTGTAAGTAGCTCTAGGCAGAAAATAAAAACAAAAAGTTGTCAGACATCTAGATTTACAGGGGAGCAGACACGGACAGATGACGACAAAAGGGGGAAGACAAAAGAAATCCCATCATTGTCACACTCCTCCCAGCAAAGCACTTGGGACACTGACAGTTGGCTGCAACGCCCCCCCACCCCTTTCTGCTAGAGGAAAACTGCTGTCATTGACCTCAGAACCCAGAGGGGCAGCAGGAGAGTGGGAATAACAGCTGAGAAAGAGGGGCAGGTAACGGGATATGTGTTTTGAAATTGTATTACTGAGACTTTTCCTGTAAAGGCAGGATTATTGTATTTTATCTTTCTTTAATAGCTAGACCAGGACTACTAATAGTTCTTCCACTAGACTTTACACTTCAGTTATGCTAATAAGAAATCCTTGACTTTACATATAAGATCTGTTTCCTTTTTGGCTGTAACAGGATTTTGAGCATAAGAGATTTCTGACCCATTTAGGTCCTTCAGCAAGCTAACAGATGCATAATTTCAAAGGGCATACTTTTTTTTGCCCTCTCACGTACCCTACATACTTAATGCAAGAAAGACCATAGTCACACAGTCTTTTGAAAAAACAAGATGCAAAGCTTCTCTTTTTTTTTTTCCCCCCCCTTCTTTTTCTTAAAGGTAGTTGAGAAATTAATGGATAGGCTTGCTCATATTTAGAGTAAGTCTTCAGAAGAATATTCAAAACCTTTTTTTGATAGGATTAGGCACCACACAAAAGCAAACTAAGCTGTAAGTTCCTGTGCTCAGAGACTTATGAAATTTGGAAGACATGCTGACTGTGTATATACATCACTTTATCCTGAAATGGAGAAAAAGACAGAAGTTTACCCTACATTGGCTGCTGAAGTAGAATTCCCCTTGAGATTTCCCCCCAACACACACACACTTTTAAAATATATTGTTTAGCTAAAGCTTACCTTTACAATCTGGGATAAAAATCACTCAAACTATGCTTTCTCACATTCTGGGTCGTTTTTGTAACTACCCTAGAAACACTTAATTCCTTACCCCACCCTCCTCCTTCATAAGAGCACTGAAAAGAGAATTAAATATATCTGTTCCTTATTACATGCAGCAGAAGCCACTTGGATAATAGGTAGCATACCTGTACGCACACTTTGCGTCAGCCGTTTTAGTTGTTACTGTAACATGGGCAACATGACTGATGCTAGCCAATGCCTAGAGAAGGAGAAAGCATCTTTGTAAACCTTGCTCTGGAGACCGCTGATTGCTGAAGGAGCGTCCACACTTTAAAGAGCATCACTACATTTTGATATACCACTTACAAGTAATTAATCAAAAACCTTCACAAGAAAATTGCAGGTCAGTAAAGCTTTAACAGATTTTAGTACCTATAACACTGACTTTTATCCAGGGCCTCTTTTGGCTTTTCTAACATTTCGTTACCTCTGACAACGCAAGCAGCTAACCATGTAACATAGCTAAAAGAAGTTTGCGAAGTTATTGCAGTTGTACTCTTCTCTTCCTTTCGTGTTAACAAAAGACAGCTGGAAGGTTTTAGCCATTACTTCCTCATCCCCACCCAAGTTCTTCTCCTGACTGTAGGTAATATTACAAAGTTAGGTTACAATAGTTTTCCTGAAAAACTCAATGGACATGTCTACACAGCCTGCCGAAACCAGCCTCGGGACCAGACTCCACTGGCTGTGGAGCTGATTACGTTGAAAGTGTGTGAGGAGAGGACTCAAGCAGAGTCTAATCTCTGGAGTGTGTAAGGATCTATGTACCTGAGCACATGCAACATACTTATATATCTTGTCTGTCTGGAGGGGAAAGCAGAACTCATCCTGGACTGTTCTGTCAGACAAGTTTAGATACAGCCTATGGGAATCTAGAGAACTAGTCTATCTGAGGGGTCAGAGATACTAAATTTGACTAATAGCAAAAGCAAAGGAAGACAAATGTACATTTCAAACATTTAGTTTTAAGTATTGTATTTAGACAACTGTCTGACATCAAAGATTCACCTTCCACTCAAGTCTCTCATTGTCTTTTACCTGTAGGTTCCTGAAGCAACATTTGAGAAGACAGGCCTTGTTTTACTTTAAAAAAAAAAATTCTTACTCCAGAAAGCAAAAAGAATATATACGTCTCCCTAGGCATCCATCTAATCTTGAAAGACATAGAAATGTACCTTGAACTATATCCACACAGCAGACTGTCTCAGAAAACAGAACCTTCTGTAAAGAGTATTGGGAATGAGATAGAATGTAAACCCCACTACAACAGCATAACAAACAACGAACAGTTCCAAAACCTTGATGAAGAGCTTACCTCGCCTCTAAAACCGTATGTAGAAATACTAGCCAAGTCTTCAAATTTTTGCAGTTTACTCGTAGTAAATCTCTCACATACGATGTCCAGATCTTCCTTCTATGTGAAAGGGACAAGTAACAGTCACTTTCCATTTCCAAGTTTTTTCAAGATCAGAAGCATTTATAAATTAAAATGAATTTTGGAAGGTAGTATGAAACATCAGCATACTGCTGTCAGCTTTGTTTACTCACTCTGATACCACAGCCGTTATCTTGGACCTGGATGAACTTCAGACCACCTTCTTTAACGACTACCTGGATACTCGTAGATTTAGCATCCAAACTGCAGAAACCAAGAAAGCATTCCAGAGAACAGCAATTCTAGAGAATAAAGGACTACACGACTTTGATTCAAAATGTGATTTTTCTCACACGAGTGACAATTTGTTTCTACTCGTCACCCGCATTGCAGTTCGTTCTGTTTCAAATAAATCTTTACTGTCTCCTTCCTTTTTGTTCTAACTACAGTGACGTATTACCCTAAATCACCATCCACATCAATTACGAAGAACGGTCAGAAATTTAAGCATTAAGAAGGTGCCCAGTCCAACGAGCAGGCCGTCCCCCCCCCCCCCGAGACCCACCCCCGACCCTGCCCCTTTGTTTCCCGCCGCCCCAA